GCAAATGAGTCAGCATTTTGCAACCTTACAGCCAGGCGATGTTGTTGAAGTTAAAGGGTAACGAGCTCAATTTTAAAAAAGATTTATGAGGAAAAAAAAACTCATTTATCAATTTTACCAGTTTTTTTTGTTTTCTTTTCTAGGCCAATTGAGAAGCTCAGATATAGCCCAAATATGAAAAAGAACATTGGAATGGTAAGGGATCAGTGATAGGTATCATAATTTGTTCTAGAACTTTTTCTTCATGGTGAGAATTCTGTATGATACGATAGCAAGATAAATATTATAATCATTTATGGTATTGAATCCTTATTAACTATCATGCAATTTTTTTCTTTCCAGGATGTAGTTGCTACCAAAATAGTGATATATTTGTGCAACATCTCCAAATATTACATATGTCCATGAGCCTGTGGTGTTCTTCGTCTATATTAATTAACATGGCAATACACCAATCCCTATTGAAAATTTTGGAGGCCAATTGAGCATTAAATTGATCCATTCCACCACATCTGACATCAGCATGTGTAAGGTTGTGTGCGCATGAATTTTTGGCCTGCGGTTATGAAAACATCATCTAGTTTTCTCTTGTTTGCATTTTATTTGCTATATTATGTTATGGCTTTGACTAAAAGGCTGATTTATGTTTTGCTTAATTATGTTAAAAGCAGGAGTCCACCATGATATGCTAATGCTTCAACAAGAATTTTAGCTAATGGAAGAAAATCACATAGTAGAAGGACTATGATAAAACATATAAATTGGCCTTTAAACACTATTCCATAACCTGAAAGATGACATTGGTAAAACTCCTATATTTTGGTGTCTGCTAAACGGGTTCTCATGCTAGTTGCATAGGTTGAGAAATTTTTTTGCATTTCCCTTAGTGAAAATCTTGTGATTCATGTTTCACCAAGATTCTATAGAGATGTCAATGCCTTTCATCTATTTAGTCTATAAGCTTTCGCATGATGGCAGAGTCTGCAAGACCTACTTACCACACCTTCTATTTGTTACATGAAACCACCAATCATGTAAGCTGAAAAAGTCATTCTGGATATCCAGATCTATGACTTTGAAGATTATTCATTCTGAAGGACTGTACTCTAAATTCTGAACTCTCTATATGTATTTATAGACGCATTTAAGAGTGAAGTTTGGTTTAGTATCCGTTTGGCAGAAGTTTGCAGTGGAAGTCACAATAATGTTGTCTGATGGAAATTGGTGCATGTTTTGTATTTTATCTCAAGTTCTGGTGTTTGCATGCTGAAGTTACATGAAACCACCAATCATGTAAGCTGAAAAAGTCATTCTGG